AGGCTTGAGCTGTAGCTGGGCAGAGTTGCACAACAATCTCATGTGTCATTGAGACATTTCTATAAGCATGGGGAGGAGGTGGATGAAAGGAAATGTAAAATATAAGTAGAGTGGTATAGGTCTTATCACTGGCTGATAATGGTCTATATTAATGCCACTGTTTACTGCTGTTCACTTTACATGGTTCAAATGTTATTCTGTTATAGTTTATTAAATATTTTATATTACTATTTGGTTCCGAATACATTTTCCCTGTGTTCCTCCTCTAAAAATTAGGTGCGTCTTAAGGTCAGGTGCGTCTTATGGAGCAAAAAATATGGTAGGTCCTACTGTTTCTCAACTGTGGCCTAGCATCCTTCCATAATAAGTTCACTTTTCTCTCACCAGAGAGCGTGTCTGCTCTTGGTACCAGTAGGATCTGCCTTTCTAGCAGGAGGCAGTCAGGGGTTTGCCTGGTGAAAATGAGCCAAAAGCAAAGTATTGGTCATCTGTTTGATGCACTGCATACTACATCCAAGGAAGCATAGCAAAACATGATTTTAAGTTAATCTCCCATTTATGAATTTACGAACCAGTTAATATTTTGCAGGATGATGGTCATTTGTCATTTAGTTTATTACTAATGAACACTTGCTAATTCGTTGATCCCCATCACACTGATGTTGGTACAAGTTTCAAAACCTGTAGCTAATCATTTTACATTGCCTTTTACGATGAATATTAAGTACTACAGCCATTAACAAAGTTCCTGCTCAATCTCTATGCAGCTGATCAATTAAGTAGTCACACAATTAATCTTTCATTATACAAAAAGCCATGTATGAAAATCCATATTAGGAGAAAAGCTTTTCAGCTGTCTGAATATGAATTAGCTTAATTGGGCTGGCCTGCAATCCCCCTGAGAACCAAGACATTTTAGAATGTGACAGGACTGATTTATGGTACGTTCAATATTCATGTCCCAAATGAGCTGGAACACACCCGGAGATAAACACCAAAGCGGAAGTTAAGAGTAATCCTCACTCAGCACTACATCTCCTCTGTTGTGGCAGTGACACAGCAGATCTCTGTCTGGCAAAAATTCCATACAAAACTAGTGAACCAAGCCAGAACTGGAGAACATTCCACCCGGTACAATCTGATGAATTATACACTAGAGAAAAGGAACCACGATAAGAGAC